AGAGATGAATACAGAGGGAAGACTGTGTGAAGACACAGGGGAAAATGGCCATCCATAAGCCAATGAGAGAAACCTCATATGAAAAACAGGACTTTTTTTTTTTTTTCTCGGCGGACACAACATCTTTGTTTGTATGTGGTGCTGAGGGTCGAACCCTGGCAGCACACATGCCAGGCGAGCGTGCTACCACTTGAGCCACATCCCCAGCCCAAGAAACAGGACTTTTGGCCTTTAGAATCTTGAGAAAGTAAACGTCTATTGTTTAAACCACCCAGCCTAGCAAACTAATACATTAACTGGAAGAAGTTCTAAGAGGAAATTTAGGGCCTGGTTTAAAGAATAAAATGGTTGCTCTGCCCTCTTTCTACAATATTACTGTTTCCTGGGACTCTAAGGGAGCTTACTTAGCAAAGGAGCAAAGAAAATGGGATGATAGTTCCCATGACCATAGGAAACAACATTTTCCCCCCTCCTTTTAAAACATAGATTGTTTTAAGAAGAAATGCTCCCTTAGAATATCTTCTGAACTGATATCTAATTTTTTAAAAATCTTATTATTTTAAGTATAAAAGCTATATATACAGAATACACTCACACTGCTGGAGGGGAATGTCTCTAATTGGAAAGTATTTAGCAAATATCTGTTAGAATTATAAATGCACAATCTCTGGTGGACATGGTCATGCATGTGCTTGTAGTCTTGGCTGCTAGGAGTCTGATGCAAGACAATTTTTTGAGTCCAGGAGTTTAAGGCCAGCCTGGGTGTGGTGTGTATTAAAATAGTACACACACACACACACACACACACACACACACACAGTCAGCTTTATATTGCTGTGATCAAAATACCCCAAAAGACCAACTTGGAAGAAGAAGAGTTTATTTTGGGCTCACAGTTTCAGAGGTTCAGTCCATGGTTGGCTGATTTCATTGATTTAGGCCAGATAAGGCAGAACACCATGGCCCAAGTGCAACAGTGGAGGAAAGCTGCTCCCCTCATGGCAGGCTGAAAGGTAGGGGAGTGGGGAAGGAGCCGGGGGACAAGATATAGTCCCCAAGGGCCCACTCCCAGAGACCCACCTCCTCCAGTCACACCCCATCTGCCTACAGTTATCACCCAGTGAGTTCATTCAAACTAGGATAAACTAATTAGATTATGGTTCTCATAATCCATCCATTTTACCTCTGAACATTCCGGCATTAACAGGAGCTTTTGGGGAACACCTCATATCCAAACTATAACATGCATACATACATATAAATGCACCACATCTTTGGCTTATAAATTTCAATCTTAAAAATTTAATCTACAGATATAACCACACAGGAAAGAAATGACATATGTCATAGGTTACTTATTACAGCATTTCATTTATAATAGCAACAGACTAGAAGCAATCTTAATGTCCATCAATAAGGAATTGGTTAAATAAATTATGGCACACCCAAATCAAATTCTATGCAGCTATATAAAAACATTTAAATCTCTTTGGGTACTGATACAAGTGGATCTTCAAAATCCATTGGCATATGAAAAAAACAAGATGCAGACTAATGTAATATAGAGGATGACATGACTTAGGTATGTATGCATATATTTGGTTGTATTTACATAAAGTATCTCTGAAAAGATGAGAGAGAGGAAGTGGGAGACTGGAGATGGGTCAGGAGGGAGAATTTTATGATTTGATCTTTTGTATTTTTTGAATCTTGATTTATGTATTAAGTATTACTTATTTAAGAAAATATAATGCAAATGGAAACAAAACACAATGACAAAAATTAAAGCAATGACACAATATAGTAAAGCAAAGTAATATATATATATATATATATATACAAAGTCAAAACAGTACATATGGGTATAAAATTAAAACTAAAACTTCCCCTCCTCCATATTCCTTACATTTAAAATAATGTATGTTTATTTTATCCAACATTTTCTAGGCATTTTGTAACAGGGATTTTTTAAATTTTAAAAATTATCTAGTCTAGGCTGGGGATGTAGCTCAAGCTGTATCGCACTCGCCTGGCATGCGTGCGGCCTGGGGTTCGATCCACATACAAACAAAGATGTTGTGTCTGCTGAAAACTACAAAAATAAATATTAAAAAAAATTCTCTCTCTCTCTCTCTCTCTTTCTCTCTCTCACACACACACACTCTCTCTTAAAAAAAAAATTATCTAGTCCTCCACGTTGGAAAGTGAAGGGTTCTTTTTTCTTTTTTTAATTTTTTGGTACTGAGGATTAAACCCGGGGTGCTTCACCACTAAGCTACAGCCCCACCCTTTTAAATTTTTATTTGAGACAGTGTCTCACAAAATTGTTCAGGGCCTCATTAAATTGTTGAGGCTTCCCTGGACTTACTATACTCTTGCCTCAGTGTCCTAAATAGGTCATAAAAAGACACTTTTTTACTGGATCAAGATGACAGATTGTGGGGCTGGGGATGTGGCTCAAGCGGTAGCGTGCTCGCCTGGTATGCGTGCGACCCGGGTTTGATCCTCAGCACCACATACCAACAAAGATGTTGTGTCCGCCGAGAACTGAAAAATAAATATTAAAAATTCTCTCTCTCTCTCTCTCTCTCTCCTCTCTCTTTAAAAAAAAAAAAAAAAAAAAAAAAAAAAAAAAAAGAAGACAGATTGTGGTCTTGTTGGACCTCAACTGAGAATGTGGCTTTGGACATTTCAAATTTGTTCACCTCAAGAGCTCATTTATTGTTTTTGGGGTTACAAATCAACGTGAGTAGGCAAGTTGTCAAATAGAGTCTTCCCATGGTAAGCAGGCTACATTGTTAAAAGAAAAATTTCAGACCAATTAAATTACACAGTTAATTTGAGCAATTCATGAGTCAGTTATCACTTATAATGAAAAGAGTTTCAGAGAGCTCTGCTCCCCAATGTGAGCAGTATCTACAAACAAAAAATGAAAGTACAGAAATAATTACTTGTAGCCAGGAGGTTGCTTTATTTGCCATAAAATTGAATGAAACCTGTTTTAAAAAATATACTCCTAGTTAAATTTTAGTTTGTTTATGTACTATGTATCTTTTTTTCTTTTTTTTTTTTTTAGAGAGAGAGAGATAATTTTTTAATATTTGTTTTTTAGTTTTTGGCAGACACAACATCTTTGTTTGTGTGTGGTGCTGAGGATGAACCCAGGCCGCACGCATGCCAGGCGAGCACGATACCGCTTGAGCCACATCCCCAGCCCTATGTACTATGTTACGTTGCTGGGAACTCAAAGTACAGAGACAGCCTTAGGCCAATAGCTTCCTCCTTACTTAATTAAATTATATATTTCTTCTATTAAATAGTTAAGGCTTTGTTTTTGTCACAGTCACCTGATCCAGGGTTCTAAGGAGGTCTCCCAAAGGGAGGTGGAGCTCAATTTAGGACAGAAGAGTCCTTCATGTCATCACAGAAAGGAATGGGTCAGAATGAGTCAAAGTGAGGCACAGATCTCACTTTGTCCCATTCTGACCCTTTCCTTTGAAAGGAAAATTTGAGAGATAGGGTAGAGTAAGGGCATTCAGAGGAATGCATTTGTTACATCTTTGCTAGGCATATTTATACATATAAATCTATAGTACAGAGACGTGATCTAAGAAGGTGTTTTTAATTCTGCTTGGTAACCAGACATGTTAACCATTACTGGGATGAGGCCATTCTGACATTTCACTCATTACTGGCATTAGGTTATCTTTCTTTGTTTTTGGTACCAGGGATTGAACCCAGGAGCTACATCCACTGAGCTACATCCCTAGTGTTCTTTATTTTTTGAGGCATCTAAGTTGCTTAGGGCCTCTTCTCTTCACCATGGTTGATTTTGGGACTTTCAGCAAAAAAGTCTCTGCAAATGAGTTCAATGTAGATAAACTTCCTATTTTGAGGTTGCTCTGATTTACTTGGCCACTGGCTGGGAAGAAATCAGCACTCCAGGTGTGAACACTCCCTTACCAGTTTTTCACAAACTTGTATCCAGTACAGTAGTTTGGAGAACCAGACATGTTAACCTCTGGCCTTGAGCTGGGGCTTCACAGAGATGTCTACATTTCTAAGATAAGAGAAGTTACCAATTGGGCTCCATGGTACAGCTGGCAGGGGGAGGGAAAAAAAGAGGAGAAGAAGCTCTCCCCTTCTCAGGTGATGTCCTTGAAGGTTTAACTTGCCCAGAACAGTGAAAGAAAAAGCTGCTTTTATGTAAACTTCTGCAGACTGTGAACTTCTGAGCCCCTTCCCTTACATGCTGGGTATAAAACTCTGAAACTGCCTGATCTTGGGGTTCAGGGGATTGATTACAGCAAAAGCTGTGCCCTCTGAACCTGGCTGCTGCCAAATAAAACTGTTTCCTGCTATCTTTGGTGCCTTGCCTTGTCTGTCCCTACAACAATAATACCTGTGGCTAAGGTTTAACAATTGATTTAATAGTGTTGTTTGTGTCCAGGTATGTGAACATGACCTTTAAGTCTGGACTTTTACTTAATCTATGTGAAAGTGGACTTTATACCATGGCCACTCTTGTTTCGTCCTGCAAGCCCCCTTTCTACTTATCCTTATTGCTTCTATTCCACCTCATCACTCATTTTATCCCACCAAAACAACGTTTGAGAATTTCAGGTTAGAAAACAAAGATGCACAACTGGAGACTGAAGATCCTGCATCTATGGGCAAGCTTCCCCTTTCCTTGATGAGTGTATACAGTAAGTTTATCTCATGCATTGACTCTCCTACCACCATCACTAATGCAATAGAGAAAGTTAAAAAGACTCTCATTAAAAGAACAATCTCAGGCATGTAGAGTCCCCTTTTGGCCAACCCCTCCCGTCTCAGGCCCTACTCCAGGTCTTCTCTCTCAAGATGAAGACTAAACAGGCCCAGGGCGTCGGAGGTGACTTGTGTCAGGCTATAGAGAGCTTGGTCCTGGTAGGGACAGATTACCTAACGCCCCACAGGGCACGCGCCACCGCGCGTGCGCACTGCCGAGTCCGCCCGGCAGGCCCCGCCTCCCGCCCCACCGGCCTGCCTTGAGAGCGCTTGCTGCTGCCGGGGCTTCAGTTGGTTGGAACCCGCTTCTGCTGAGCTTGTGTCCGCCGGTAGCAGGCCCAGCCATGCTTTCTCGCGCATGCAAGTCTCCGCCCCAGCGCCGGGTGTTTGTAGTGGGGGTTGGCATGACCAAGGTAAACAGAGGGGCGGACTTTGTTCCCGGGAGGCCTGGAGCCCCAAGGTGATGGGAAACGGGGGCCAGGTTCTTTCCCCCTCCTTCCTGCCGGGGGACGACCCTCCTTCCTAGCTCCGGCTTCTTGGAGGGAGGGACATCAGAGAGGCCGCTCGAGTGGGATGTGATATTGGTGTCTCCTGTCGTGCCTCGGATTGGTCCTGAGGCCAATTATTTATTCTTCCTCCTTCCTTCTCTCTTCTTCCTTGTCAGTTTGTGAAGGAGCCCCCAAGTTAACCCAGGGCTCGCACTTCCTTTGATTATAAGTGGAGTCCCGAAGTATGTACCCAGGGCAACAGCTGTCTCACACCCAAAGGGAAGCAGGTCATGAATGTCACCAGTTCTGCCCCCCCCCCCCACGTACTTGTAGTACCCTATCTCAGAACCATCTCCAAAAGTAGTTGGGGAGCAAACATTAGTGATCCTCAGCGTCTTGGCACGGGTGGCAGGTTTCCTGGTTCTCTGAACTTTTTGTGTCTGCCTGGTCCTCAGGAGGCCAGAAGTGTCTCTTTTCAACACTTCTGTGCTACAATAATGCCAAACTGCCATTAGTTTCTTTCATTTTAAGCTTTTCTTGTCATTATTTGTATCATTTGTCTTCAGCCCGGACCCTTGACCCATACTGGGGATTGAATCCATGGTTGCTTTGCCACTGAGCTTTTTTTTTTTTTAGGTGGTGGGGATTGAACCTATGGCCTTGTGCATTCGAGGCAAGCATTCTACCAACTGAGCTATATCTCCCCAGCCCCAGCTCTTTTTATTTCTTATTTTGAGACTGGGTCTTGCTAAGTTGCTGAGGCTGACCTTGAACTTGGGATACTACTGCTTCAATCTCCTTAGTTACTGGGATTACAGACAGGCATGTGCCACCACATTTGCCTAGAAGAAGGGATCCTTTTCTATTTTGGTATTGGGGATTGAACCCAGGGGTGCTCTACCACTGAACTCTTTATATTTTATTTTGAGACAGGGTCTTGCCCAGGTTGGCTTGGAATTTGTGCTCCTTGTGACTCAGCTTCCCTAGTAGCTGGAATTATAGGCATGGACCATCAGGTCTTAAAGATCAGTTCAGATCTCTTCCCCAGAAAACCTCTGATCCTCCTGGCCTTCCCACAGTGCCTTGTACTTACCTCTATCTTACAACTTACTATGTTGTACTAAAATTCTCTTTCTCCTCTTGTAAGCTGCTGCAGGGTGGGTACCATGTTTTATTTATTCTCTGCTGTTCCCCTCCCACCCTGAAGGTGCCTGAAGACCCTTAATAGATGTTAATTGAACAATATTAAATGGATGTACTCACTGAAAGAGTTCCTGGAGAGAGGTTTTTTTTTTTTTTTTCCTGTGAAGGCAGCATTACTTTTTATTATTATCTTATCAGTGGGCTAAGAGCATGTAGTTCAATCAAAATAGAAAAGTTGACTTCTATGTTATAAAGCAGAAGCTTGGAGATCATCCTGTTGTTTCATGGAAGAGGTGAACAGTAAAACAGTGTGTTCCATTTTTAGGTATCTTCCATTGGTTGTTGAATGTCTGATTATATGATCTGTATAGAAAATCAAGTTTCTCACAAAAGTAGGAGATGTATTTTTTCTCAAGTTGGGAGGTGGGGGGATATGTTAATAATCCTGAGGGAAGAGATGGGGAATATGGAGAGTGCTTTCATCATTTAAGCATATACTTAATACATTTACTGTGTGGTATTTGCTAGGGATGGCAAAAATGAAAAGAAAAGAAAAAACAAAACACCAACAACAAGATTCCTATTCTTAAGGAATGTATAATCTGGAGGAGAAAAGGATAAACAAGTAATAAATAAGGATGATTTGGGACATTTGGTTAAACATGGCAGACCAAAATCATGAATTTATCTCTATTGGTGCTTTCTAGATTCCATTAAAACTACAATAAGGAAATAAAAAGTTATTGACATATAAGAGCAATGTGAATAGGAGAGGAAATTAACAGAGAAATGTCAGAAAAATTTTGGAAAACTAAAAGCTGTTGGAGAAGTGATCATTGACTCAGCAGAGGAGCCCACAAACCAAGTTCTGGAAGAGGGGTAATACTGGCTGAGTCTTCCTCCAGAACTTCAGAAGGCTTAAGGCTTGGACATAGTGACTACTGAGTAAGGCAGGAAGAAAAGAAAAACTGTTCTTTGAAACAATCAGATTCCAACATCTCTTTTACCACCTGGTGACTATGCCTTTCCTTAGGAGAGAGAAAGGAATGGGCTGGGGACAAAACATACCCTTCAAAGGCATTCCTCCAGTGACCTACTTTCTCTAACTAGGCCCCACCTCCTACCATTTGTGCGGCCTCATAGTCCATTTAATTATGAACCCAACAATGGATGGTACAGCCATTGGTGGGATCAGAACCCTCATAATCCAGTTACTTCCTAAAATCCCCACCTGAACATTGCTGCACTGGGGACAAGCCTTCAATACACGAGTCCTTGGGGGACATTATAGATCCAAAACTATAGATCCAAACTATTAACAGAGACCATGATATAACTTCTTAAATTGACAAAGAAATAATACTGTAAGAATATTTAGAAGGCAGTTTATATCAGAAAAAATACCTAAAAAAATCTAAAATGCATGTTTTAGGAGCAAGTAAGACTTTGTAGGGCATAGTGAAACAGAAGATTATATAATAAGTCATGTGGCACTTTTTTTTTCTTGCATTTCTTTGGTTAAAAAATAATTAAGAGGGCTGGGGATGTGTCTCAAGCGGTAGCGCGCTCGCCTGGCATGCGTGCGGCCTGGGTTCGATCCTCAGCACCACATACCAACAAAGATGTTGTGTCCGCCGAGAACTAAAAAATAAATAAATAAATATTAAAAATTCTCTCTCTCTCTCTCTCTCTCTCTCTCTCTCTTTCTTTCTCTCTCTCTCTCCTCTCTCACTCTCTCTTTAAAAAAAAATAATTAAGAAACAAATATAAACAGAATTCCCAGAAGTTGGCCTTGTGCCCTCTTTGAGTCACTGACTCCCTTCTAGAAAAGTGTTGCCATTAACCTGACTTCTGACCTTTGATACTATGTATTAGTTTTGGATTTAACTCAGGAGTGCTTAACCATTGAGCCACATCCCTAGCCCCCCCCTTTTTAAATAACTTTATTATTTATTTATTATTATTTTTTATGTGGTGCTGAGGATCGAACCCAGGGCCTTGCATGTGTAAGGCGAGCACTCTACCACTGAGCCATAACCACAGCCCCCCCATCCCCCTTTTTTAAAAATATTTTTTTTAGTTGTTAATATAACTTTATTTATTTATATGCAATGCTGAGAATTGAACCCAGTTCCTCACACATGCCAGGAAAATATGCTACCACGGAGCCCCAGCCCCAGTCTATAAGGATAGCTTTTAATCTGCAATAACTAGTTGGTAGAGAAAGGAGTCCAGCCTGTACTAAATTCAACTACATTTTGTACAGAAGTAACTGGGTGATTTAAAGGAAGAATGAAGGGTAGGTAGGGGGGCCAGAAGGGGCTCAGTAGAGTACAGGAAATGAAAAGTAATAAATTTTGGTATAAATTCAATTAGGCCTGCTGTGTCTGCTAGCTGACAGTTATTAAAGTTAGGATTTTAGCTCATCTGAGAGACGAGGAGACAATCTGTCTAACCTTAGGTAGGTGTTGAATGAAGCACAATACTTTTTTTTTTTTTTTTTTATAGCAGCCTTGAATTTTCTAAAGCAGGCACTGGAAATGGGGGCAAGGATCTTTTAAGGGAATGGCCTTGAACTATTAGAAACTATGTTAGTGTTCTCATTTGAGATGAGGGTTCAGAATTCTAGCTAGAAATGTTCAAGAGAGGTTGTTTTTTTCTTTTTTTGGTGGGGGTGGGGGGGATACCTCAGATCGAACTCAGGATCATTCAACCACTGAGCCACATCCCCAGCCCTACTTTGTATTTTATTTAGAGACAGAGTCTCACCTCGCTTTTGCTGAGGCTGGCTTTGAACTTGCAGTCCTCCTGCCTCAGCCTCTGGAGACACTGGGATTACAGGTGTGTGCTATCTCGCCTGGCCTCAAAAGAAAGTTTTTTTTGTTTTGCCAGGTACACTCTTGTAATCAGGGACTAGGGAACCCGAGGTAAGAGGGGACCATAAATTCCAGGCAGTCTCAACACTTAGCCTCAGTAATGTAGTGAAATCCTGCCTCAAAAAATAAAAATGGCCAGGGATATAGCTCAGTGGTAGAGTGCCTATGGGTTCAACTTCGAGTACTGCAAGGGATTTGAGGGTAGGGGCAAATCTTTGCTAAATGTCATATTTTATCTAGTCAGTTATTAAAGGAATTTGGTAGTTTCCATCTAAATTTGCTTTTAATTTTGAAAGGGAAAAGTATGTGTTTGTTTGCTTGACTAATCTTTTAAAAGTTGCCTTGAGGGCTGGGGATGTGGCTCAAGCGGTAGCGCGCTCGCCTGGCATGCGTGCGGCCCGGGTTCGATCCTCAGCACCACATACAAAGATGTTGTGTCCGCCGCCGAGAACTGGAAAATAAATATTAAAAATTCTCTCCTCTCTCACTCTCTCTTTAAAAAAAAAAAAAAAAAAAAAAAAGTTGCCTTGATTTCAGTAAGAAATTGAAAAGTACAGTTCTTTATAGATGATAATTTAATTATTACTGGATACTGCTTGTTGGGGTCTAGCATAGTACTTTTATGAAAGGTACTATGTATAAATGATCTGGCTGTAACTGGTGAATGCTGTATTAGGGAATTAAAAAGGAATCCCTAATTCAAGAACTATGGAGAAGAATTAGAATAGTTCATGGATATGAACACATGTTCAATGTTTTATTCAGTTTAATGGTTATATTTTGGCACTGTGTAATTAGTGTACCATTTAAGTCAAGTATCTAGCATTTCAAACCATCAAGTATCTGGTATTTCAAACAGTGTTTTGTGTAATAAAATCAATATGGAAGGTGACCTTTAGCATTAAAAGAAACATTGAAATAAAATAAAATACCAAATATTGTATCTAAGAATACTTATGCTATAACAAGGATAATTATTTTATGAAATTTTTGCTTCCATCATGTGGTTTCATGGGTATACTTTATTGTGTTATAAAGTGTATCTTATTGTGGTTTGCAGTCAAAAGAATGTTTGGAATCCATTTCTTTTAACATGCTCACGGATCAGCAAATCATTTCACCTTATCTAATCAATCACTAAGTTCAGTAGATTTTATTTCTTTTGTTTCCATGTCCATCTACTTTTTTCCATTCTTTTTGATACTGTCATAGTTAATTCTTATTTGGACTGATTTAGAATTATGCCAATTGGTCTCACTGCCTCTAGCCTTGCTCCTTTCATTCCTTTCTTTTTTATTTTTCAGAGCAGTTTTAGGTTCACAGCAAAATTGAGCACAGAGCACAGAGATTTCCCATATCCTGTTTCTCCTAACCAATACACATAGCTTCCTCCACTATCAACAATCCATGCCACAGCGATACATTTATAACAATCTGTGATCTTATATTGACATGTCATTATCACCCCAAAACCATGGTTTACATTAGGGCTCACTCTTGGTGTTCAACAAATTTATGACATATATCCATCATTAGGGCATCCTATAGAGTAGTTTTATTGCCCTACAAAGTGCTCTACCCGTTCATCTTTCCCTACCTTCTCAACCCCTGATCTTTTTATTGATTTCATAATTTTACCCTTTTTATTTTTATTTAAAAAAATTTTTTTAAAGAGAGAGAGAATTTTAATATTTATTTTTTAGTTTTCGGCGGACACAACATCTTTGTGTGTGGTGCTGAGGATCGAACCTAGGCCTCACGCATGCCAAGCGAGGGCACTATCGCTTGAGCCACATCCCAGCCCAATTTTACCCTTTTTGTAGTATGTCATTTACTTGGAATAATACAGTAGGCAGTCTTTTCAGATTGGTTTCTTTCACTTAATATACATTAAACATTCCTTTATTCCTTTCTAGGCTTCATAGCTCTTTTCTTTTTATCACCAAATAATATTCCATTGTTTTGATGTACTACATCCATTCATCTACTGAAGGACATCTTTGTTGCTTTCAATAATTGACAACAATGCAGAAAGCTGCTAAACATCTATGTGTACATTTTTCTGTGGATATAACTTTTCAACTCCTTTGGGTAAATGCCAAGATGTGATTATTGGATCATATATGAGTTTGTTTCATTTTATGAAAACTGCCAAGCTGTCTTCTAAAGTGTTGTACCATTTTGCAGGTCCACCAAGCAATGAATGAGGGTCCTTATTGCTTCACATTCTTGCCACATTTGATATTGTCATTGTTTTGGGGTTTTACTCTTCTTCTAGTAGATGGTGGCATATAATTATTTTCCATTCTCTTAAAAAATCCATGTCTTCAGGACCTCATAATAGGGCCTATAAGGTCCTTCATGAGTTGGCTGTAGACTTAGACTATCTGATGGTTCAGTTCCACTACTTATTAGCTGAGTGCCTTTGTACAAATTGCTTAATTTCTCTGTGTCCTTGTTTTCTTATTTGCAAAATTGTGAGGATTGGACAAGTTATTACATATGAAATGTTTAGCACAATGCATATTACACATAAATACCAAATAAATATTAGTTATTATCATTTTATCCTAAATTACTTTTATGTCCTTATCACTTTCTATTTTCTTCATTGTGCTTGAATCTGTTATATTAATTATCTGTTATATTTAATTATTCTATAGAGAAAAAAATGGTCTTTCTGCTGTAGCTTAAGCTAGGTACATATCTCTCACAAATCATTCTGCGCTTATGATACTATAGTGTAATTGCCTATTTTACATTACACTAGAAGTTCCCAGAGGGCAAGAACTGTACGTTATTTATAATGACAGTTGAGGAACATGGCAGGTTCTCAATAATATATTTTTGTTTGAATAAATAGTCAATGAATTTCTATGATACTCTATTGTGAAAAATTCTAATTGTAACTTGTTCCTATTTATTATCTTCTTCTACATTCTAGTTTGTGAAGCCTGGAGTTGAGAATTCAAGAGATTACCCTGACTTGGCAAAAGAAGCAGGTAATAGAGAAAATTTAGATCTTTGAATATTCATAGTTTATTGTATGGTCTGTCTTTATTGCATAGGAGGAGCAGCCTGGCAAGCAAAAGGAACCCAGGCGAAAGGGAAAAAATTATGTGGCACATTGCCTAGTGGTTCACTCGAAAAGAGAAAGGGAAAGGAAAAGGACCTTGGCTGTTCTTAACCGATATAGAGCCAGGACAGATAGTGGCTTCTTCTTTTATGTGTTATCCAGCTGTTTGTTAGAACGGTAAATGGATCTCTGGGAAAGAAAGGTAGGGTTATTAAAAATGGATAACTAGATTCTTATATCTGTTCTTCTTTGGATTTGTAACAAAATTAATGTCTTCCTTTTCTGGAAAAGGGATAACCACATTCAAAATGTTTTAAGTACCTATATGGTAGTTTTTCTTTCTTCAGTTTGCTGAGCCATCCTTGATGATTATTTTTCTATTACTAGCTACTGCATGACTAAATGCTGAAGTGCACTTTGTTATTATATATTCTAGTATTAGTGCTAGCAAGTAAAGGACTTGGGTGAATACTTGTGAGCTGAAACTCGAGAGAGAAGAATCCACAGGAGAATGTATTTAGTATTCTTCAGAGACAAACTTGGACCATGTTGCACCTGCCTGAATTATGGGTGTGAGCTCCAGCAGGGATCCTCTTTGATTGTTTTCTCTCTCTCTCTCTCTCTCTCTCTCTCTCTCTCTCTCTCTCTTCCTACCAAGGATTGAACTCAGGGGCATTTAACCCCTGAGCCACATCCCCAGTCCTTTTGTTACCATTTTAAACTTTTATTTGGAAACAGTTGAATTGCTTGTGGTCTCATTAAGTTGCTGAGACTGTCTTTGAACTTGTGATCCTCCTGCCTTAGCCTTCAGAGCTGCTGGGATTACAGGCATGTGCCACCGCACCCAGCCTCTTTCTCTCTCTTTAAAGAGGACATACATGAGAGCTTCTTTGCATGGTTTAAATAAGTAAATAAATGAAAAGAAGGGAAGAGAGGGAGGGAGGAAGGAAGAAGCATGTAGTCTAAGCTTAAATGCCAGTGTTAGGCATGATCCTTGCCCTAGGAATCTCCCTGACCCCGGTTCCTATTAGTTTGTTGCTGGGAAAACCAAAAAGAATTATTGTGGTTATTCCACAATAAGATGTTCTTGCTTGTTTCTGTGAATACCCTGTGTACATATATATTTAGATTTGCATCAACTTAGTATGCAACTCAATATTTAGATATTGTATGAGAAATTAGAGCATCTCATCCCCCAAAAGGAAGATTTATGATATTTAATTAACTAACTTCTGTTGGTTTTTAGGGTAGACACCATTTAAGGTTTATACTCCATGTTGATAAATTTTCTTCTTGTGACTATTTTCTGCCTTTCTCTGCAGGGTGAGTTTAATCAAGTCAGGTTTCTTGTTATTATAAATCCTTTGCAAGCAATAGTGGAAAAATAAATAAGAACATTTTATATAGAATAGACTTTAAATTTAGTGTTGGGCTGAGGATGAAGCTCAGTGAGAGCACTTACCCTGCATGTACAATGCCTTGGGTTTGATCCCCAACACTGGGGATAAAAAAGAATTCCACCCATACATTTCACCTTAAGTACCCTCAGACCACATTGGTAACATTTGATCGAACATTTATTTAAACACAATTTGGAGGGAAAAACACCTGAGCTCCTTCTTATAAATGAGAGCATTTTACTCTCTATAGGTTCATTTGTAGATGGACTGAGGCAGAGGGATTTGTTTCATGGAGTAATGGATCAAGAAATTCTACCCTCTACTTCTCCAAAGTGGCTGTAGGAGGGGGGTTCTGCCACTATGTTCTTTCCCTAAATGTATGGAATGGAGAGGGGCACAACCAGAAGTGTCCTGTCACTTCCATTATTCTATCTTCCTTTCCCTCAGGAAACATGATCTCACTAATATTATTATAAGAGATTTTTTTGGGGCTGGAGATGTGGCTCGGGCGGTGGCACGCTCGCCTGGCATGCGTGCGGCCCGGGTTCGATCCTCAGCACCACATACCAACAAAGATGTTGTGTCCGCCAAGAACTAAAAAATAAACATAAAATAATAATAATAATAATAAAATAAATCATTGATGAGATATTTCATGTTCTTTTTGTTGTTGTTAAAAGTTTGAGACAGAGTGTCACTGAGTTGCTGAGGCTGGTCTCCAACCTGCCATCCTCCTGCCTCAGC